GTTTAGTTACATTTGGTGAGCACTTATATGAGCCATTAATGCAATTCATGACTGGAAAAGATCCCATACCTCGTATTTAATTAGATAATAATTTGATTCAACTTCCACCCAGCTGACGTGCTCATGAAATGCCCGACAAGGTAAACGAGTGGATTGAATTTTTATGTGAACTCAAGGAAAATTTTGATATTTTTTTTGATCAAGAGCTATTAACAGCTCTCGAATCCCTAAATAACAAAGATTTTGGTGAGCTTTTTGATAATTTAGAATAGGGAATAAACAAAGCATATGAACTTTTTCTAAAATGGATGTCTCCATGGGTGCATTTATCACTATCCGTATGCCAGTTGGGTGGAAATTCCAGTCATGAATTTGCATGAGCATTTTATCATGTTGCTTTGCAAACGTCATGGCTATTGGAATCAACTGAATGTGAAACTGAATTTGCAAATCAACTATACAATAATTTCGAGACGTCTAATGACACATTTGATCTTTGGGAAGAACTACTAAATAACATGGAATTTAAAGAGGAGTTTCAGGAATTCTGCTTGGCTTCTGATTCTAAAATTCACGAATTTCCATCGTTGTATAGATTTGTTAAAGAACGAGTTTATTTTATTATAATCCACCAGCAGCAAGTAGAAGGGCTCTTTAACAAGTTAGATTTGAAAACTCACCCGAATATGACATCTAATATGAAGCAAGCAAAGCTAACTTTCGTCTGGAGATATAGACAAAGAAAATATCACTTCGAAACTGTCAGAAGTTCGTGTAAAATGCCAAAAGCAACCACAGGGTATTTTAAAAGAAAGCAACCCGATAATATTTGGAGAAAAAGAAGCGACCAAAATATTTCTTGATTTATGTCGAAATTAGTAGCTATTATTCATTTGGTTATACATGTAATTAAAAAAAGTTTCTTGGATATTAATATAAAAGATTTTTTGTTCACTAAACATTGATCATCAATTTCACAAAAAATTGGTACTAATTATTTTCGATATGAGACTATACATAAATTTGATCTACATAGTGCACCGAATACTCCAATGGCACGCTGATTTTACAAGGTTGAGATCTGAAATTGTCACATCTTTATTGATCACACATGATTATATAATTGGTCCTATTAATTAATTGGAATTACCAAATATGAGAATAGGAAAATATGTATAATTACTTGAGTATATTATATGGTGCCAGAAATCATAACTCAACAATAAAATGAATTAATTTTAAAATCTTTGAACACTTTACAAAAATGGAATTTAGAAAAATCAAACCAGTAACTTTATTCTTTATGATAAGCTCTATTAAAAGTCCTAGATATATGATCAGTCCAAATTTGGAACAAATCACGTGAATATTTTCACATGAACATGATTTTATTGGTTGACATTCATTATAATTCAGGTCGGCATTATGCTAATGCTAATTATCATAGTGCCAGTCCGAATTATCATAATGTAAATCATGTAATAAATAAAACAGGAAGTCTATGGACAGTGCTGAATCACGTGGCCTTTGACACGAGAAAATAAAAAATATTGAAAAAGCAAATATTACATATAATCTTATTTTCAGCTCTAACCGTAACCCTAATCCAAACGATAAATAGCCAATTTTACATGATCACGTGAGCGTGGACTTTGAAAACATAATCACGTGACTGTCGAGATATGACTTCTGGCACCGTATAAAACTTCCCAACAAAAAAACACGCTCACGTGAGCACGGAAAATTAACGTTAAAGGCTATTTATCGTTCGGGTTATGGTACGAGTTAGAGTGAAGAACAATACTATACGTAAAATTGCCTTTCCGACATTTTTTGTTAATGCTTCAAGCCAGATTTTAACATCTGTTTTCCGTATTTTTTACATTATTCACTTTTTACATTTTCTTGTATCGGATTTGTTTTGCCGTGTTGATAAAAAATTTGCGCATTCTTATTGGTTTGCGCTCACGTGAGCGTATTTTTTGTTGGCGATGCTGGAGAAGTTCACCATATAAAAATTAATCACAAGATATTCTATTAATCTAAATCCTAATTGGTCAAATCATATGATCATGATTTAGACAGTAATTGTCGTGGATCATAAGGTCGGGGTTAGGGTTAGATATCTGTTTTTCATATTTTTGCATTTTTTATTTTGCCGGGCTGATCAAATTTACATATTTTTATTGGTTCGTGCTATCCGACATGTGATAATTTGCGGCATCATCATTGGTTGGTTTCACAATGATCCTCGACAAATATTAAAAAAATGATACAAATATATGAAAAACAATAATATATCCTCAAAGGTAAATATATATGGATCTAATGGGATCATCTCTAATAACATCTATCACTATACTGTACACATACTTCTAAACTGCAGTTTTTTGTTTAATATAATTAAAAAAGGGGGGTTAACGCGTTTTATCTGTACGACAAATTAAACTAAGCGATTCGAGCTGTTGTATGGTTTTTAATCTCTTGTTCATTTCTTATATATCGGATGCAGCTAAGGGTGCATTGTGATAAACACTCTGAGCAGAATTAGTTCCGGAAGCATTTATTGAAGAAATAGAAGTTGAAGAATATCTTCGGGCATATGTCGTGGGTGCCGAATCCCGTCTATATGAGAAAATAGGTTCAAGATCAGCATTATGAATATGCGAAGGAACCAATGAGCCCGAAGAATTTGGACGTTTCAATTCAGGTTGCGATATTGCAAATGGAAAATCATTGCTACTAATGCTATTACTACGGGCATGAGTTAATCTAGTTGGTGAGCCAGTTGCAGTAGCATGAACAATAGTGGTGGTAGGAGGAACGGGAGTACGTTCATGTGCAGTGATGCCAATATTATTATTTCCTTTACTAACACTTCCTCCTGCTCCACCTCCTCCATTAGAGCTTTGAGGTGGTGAATCGAGAACGGCACTAACACCTTGACGTTGTTTCGAGAGACTAACAGGCTGAGACATTGTTCGTCGCAAGGACAAGGTCGGAGTTGGTGTCCTAGAAGTCGGAGAAGGAGAAAGCTGAGGTGAATTAGATAGTCTAGAATATGTTGTTGTTGGTGATAATGGTCTTTCTTGGGAATAGTTTACTTCTTGATTGGTGACAATAGTTAATGCTGATTTAGGAGAGCCTGATAAGCTTTCTGCTTGCTTTTCACTGCGCTTTTTTTTGGCAGATTCTTTGAGTTTTTCCCAGCGTTCCCTGTATTTAGCCTCTGAAGCTTTCTACATAAAAGAAAAGAAATAATCCCGCTTTAACGAAGGACCGGTTGAGCGAAGATTTCATAAAGTGAAAATTTCTAAACTAGCGCATTATAAGAACTCCAATTTAACGAAGTGACATATAAATAATTTTCTGAATGAAATTCATTTTCTGAAACGGCGCACTTCGTTAAATTGTGTACATAAAACATTAATAGTAGAAATATTACCTGCTTCTCATTATCAAGTTTTACTAGACGAAGTTCTTCCTCTAATTCTTTAATACGCCTTTGTAAATAATTAGAATGTGAAACTAGAAAATAAAAATTTAATTGAGTGTAAAAAGTAAAGTGTCTGAAAAAAATTGATACTGTTATTATAGAAATATAATCACCTGTTGAACTTTCTGGTGATAATTGTCTCACCATAACAGATGCTCTCAATTCTTGGCTATGTTTTATCCGTTTCGCCTACCACCACGATATTTAACATAAAGTGACTATTACTAATTAAAAAGGATAAGGCAATACTTAACAAACCTGTTTTTCGACATCACTCTTGAATTGCATAATACTACTCTTTAACATGCTGTTTTCTTCGGCGGCCTAATTAATATTGTCAACTGAAAATTTTAAAAAAAACTTAAATAGGACAGCAAAATGTAAGCTTATGATCTTGATTACTTTTTCATAATCTAGCATTTGTTTAGATAATTTGTCCACGATAATTTTTAGCTGTTGATTTTCCAATGCATATTCCTCTATAGTTTTATTTATGGTTGGTGCTGCTTTCTTTCTACAATCAATTATTCATAAACAAACAAAATTAATAATTTTAAGAATTAAGAATTGATTTTTTTATAATTAAGTAAAATATTTACTAACTTTCCGGACGTAGTAGTAGATAGAGTCTGTTGAGGTTTATGAAAAGTATCAGATGATCTGGGTTTCTTATCCGGTATAATAAAAAACGACTCCATCATTGTCGTCGAAGCAGCCCCGTCAATCTTGGATTCGATAACTATCGAAGTAGAGAAATACAATAGAATAATATATAAGAGAGGCATTTGTTTTATATTAATCATAAATCGGTACAAATATTATAGCAAAAAAAAAGCATACTCGTTCGACCGTTTAGTTTGTTCTCTGAAGGTATTGAAACATCGACAGCAGTAGAATCTGATAATAAACGTGGATCAGTGAGACTGAGTGTGTCCGTACCGTTTAGAGGTACGGTGGCGAATGCCACAGGATTAGAAACCTTTGACACAAGAGATTCAACTATTTGCCAAAATTTATTAAATGGATCAGCATCATCGTCCTAAGATTCATCAATCAATCCATTCATAAATTAGCAATAAGAAATTTTTTAAAAAAAATAATTTTGTACAATTTAATAACATTATAGTTACATCTGCAGAGTCATTATTTCCTCTCAACACCATATAAGATTCTTCAACAGAAGAAACTGTCGAATTGTTGAGAGGACTCATTGATGATGCGATGTTGTCACGCGGAGGGACACCCAAAGTTGATGAAGACGAATTTGCTAAAAAAAATTTGAGATATGTAAAATAAAAATAGCAAGTCTAATTTAGACAATAGAATATAAAAATCATTATTACATTCCAATTGATAGTCCTTTATTCGACGATTAGCATAATTTGATGTATTTGACCTATAAACATAATTATTAGTAGTATTTATACTAAAATCAATATCATCTGAATATTGATTATTAAATAACCAATGGCGAAGAATGGTGACAACAACCTTGATGTTTGTTGTAGCTTTTCCATTTGACGCTGCTGCTGTTTATGTAGACGATGAGCGGACGAACTCGAATTTTGTCTTCCCGATTGGTCTATTTGATTATTGTTATTGCTGTTATTAATTTGTGCCTGATATGAAGATGAGTTTTGTGCTTTACTACGAGACGATGATGATGAGGATGATTGCTGTTGTTGTCCATCAGCACCACTAATAGATGATGAAAATTGCTCTTGTTTTTGATGCGGTGAAGATTGCGATTGCTTGCTCAGACGTCGTTTAAGTTCTTTGCCTTGACGCGTATGGTTAGCATAAAGTAATTTGAGAGTTCTGACCGCCTGTTAAGTTGCCCATTAGAATCAACGAAAAAATATCTTTTTATATTAGCAAAACTAAGAAATCATAATTCACCTCAGGGTTTGATGTATAATTCATTGCTAATAAAAACTGTTCTATTAAATATAAAAGATAAGATCAATTAAAAATAGATCAGAATATATATTTTTGAACTAATTAGTTTCCAATTGGTCCAAGTTCATTAATAACCTAAAACCCTTCCGAAAGAACAAACTTTCATTACATGAGGTTATTAGTACCTGCGGCGCGAAAATGTGCTTCCATGGCTTTACTCCATTGTTCTTTTTCCTCGTACTCCTCAGCCGCATTTGCGTAAGCATGCGCCTATACATAGCAAAATATAGCAGGAGCCATGACAAATCAATCAAGGCTCTTAACGAAACTTGTTAATGAATTTCAATCTATATCTAAATAGATACCGCATTAACTGGCGTTTCTTCCATCTTTATATTCTTTATCCAATAAAGTATGGAAGAGGCAAAAATTGTCTATCTTTAAACAAAAAGAACGACGACGACAATGCAACAGGAAAAAAATTGTAATACAAATTTCTTTTGTTTTTCTCCGACCATGCGATTTAGCAATGACCAATTAAAATTTCCCAAAAATCTGTCATGGTGTCCGGAAAGTTGGGTCGGTAATATACACTGGTCAATAACAGAGAACAAAGGCAATTCCGATATAATGATACAATGAAGTGCTTTCTAATTTACATTATCTGAATAAACAGGTAATTATGGATTTTTTGCTGATGAATATTTATTTGTTTAAAATAAGGAGTTATATCTTTTGATAAAAGAACTTAGTGATGATTTATGTGATATCAAGAATGAAATAAAAAAATAATATAATAATAAAGATAAAGAACTTTTATCATGAGTTTTTGATATATATTTTTCATGATTGTTAAATCAGATTGAGTCAAATTGATTTTATTAATATTTTAAATTAATAGTTAAATCAATTTTATCAATATTTTAAATTTATAGTCATGCTTTGTGAATGTGACAAAGTAACTCTTTTCAATTAATTTATATCTTTCACAAAATAAACTGAAAAATGCATTAAAAAATTACCTAAATAAAAATCAACCTGAATATATAGCAAATATATCAGATAATCAATTTACTAATTATTTTTATAGTGAATGAAGCAATCAAATAAGTTATATTTTTAAATAATTATAAATTATTTATTTATATTTTATATATATATAGTTGTTATTAAAAATCAAAAATTATTATAGTATTATGATCGGACTCTTGATGAATATTATTATAACATAGGTATTCAACTAATATTTAATGATGATATTTTTACAATTACTCAATCTTATTATAATTAATATACTTTAGGATCACCATGCAGTGTGTTTTCTTCTATTAGTTGAATAGGCTCTTACTATTACTAATAGATATTATATCTACTTAGTATGTGATAATCATATAGCAATATAGTACAGTCCACCCTCGTTAATATGACACCCGTTAATATGACAACCGCGTTAATATGACCAACTGCCGAATCCAAACAATGAAAGCCTTTTTTGCTCTCGTTATTATGA